TAATAACCATCTAACAAACAAGAGATTTTTATAGTCACAACATACCTTGTTGGTGTTTGTTGGCGACTTTTGATATTTTGAGTTCTGGTTTGGGTGGCGCAAACTTCCAGCTGACATGGTTGGGCTGGTACATGGGCATGTTCGGAAGAGGTGCCGGATGCTGTCAAGGAAAAAATAACACTTTATTTTCTTAAAGAAAGCTGTCTTTAAATCTATATTTGCAAGTCTGCATGAGTCACACTGAATGTATTACTCTCTTCTTGCTTTGATACCTACCCATACCAGAAATGGAGGTTTTGACAACAGTAAAACCACAAGAAAATGAGTAGTTTATAATGAGGCCTTCATCAAAGTGACAAAAACCAGTGAAATCATCTACTTATTGAAAATGCATAATTGGAAAACCATCGCATAAAATGAGAGCTTCTTTCTGGAATGTTTGTAACAATAAGTGATTACCAGGGCCCAGATTTTTATGACATGTCATCTTTTTTTCCTTGTATCTTATGCAATGCTCTTAAATATATAAATCTCGGATATAAGCTGCTGGTTACAGAAATGTAAATTTTATAGGTGATTTTTTGTCATTTTTTGACATTTTTAGGTTTAAGGTAATTTTTTCATTTCTGGGGTAATTTTTTGGACCTTTAAGGGTATTTCTTGTCATTTTGGGCCATTTTAGGGAATTTTTCTTCATGTGTTTTCTGAAATGTGAATAATATGGAAGCGAAGTGTTCTTTCTTTCTTTATCTTTCTCCTTTAGGTCATTTTTTCTGGATTTTTCTGTCATGTTTTAAATATTTTCAGGTCATCAAATTCTGGGCCCTGCATATTACATTTTTGGGTCATATTTTAAATATTTTCAGGTCATCAAAATCCGGGCCCTGGTCATTACTAACTAGTGATCACTGTTTTTAGTAACTTTTTTCGCAACAACACACTTCCCATTTTTATTCTGACAAGTTTTAACTACTGAGAAATGTATGAGACATTCACTGCATTATTCAGTCCCTTCCCCTCCTTGTCATAAAGGCTTCCTCTTTCTCTCAGGTCCTGGATACATAGGACGATGTAAGGAATACAACATAGTGGCATGCTCAAATATCTGCTGTTTTGGTTAGTGCTAACTGCAAACATTTTGAAATACCCTAATTAAAGCAATAAAACAGACCAGCTTAACTTGAATACAAAATCTGAAATACTGCAATATATCCATGTGAAGCAGGTTTGGCTTCTCAGAAAGTGAGACAGGAAGGCAGTATGAACTAACTTCTTTGACTTTGTTTACAACACAGAAGAACAAAGAGAAAATGCAATACAAACAAACCCAAAGTACACTAACACTGTTCCCTTCTTTCATGAGTACATACTGGTGAACTCTGTCTCATGATCTTGGTTTGAGGCTGTGTAACGAACATAATAAGATCAGCCTGTGCTACCAGTGTGATGAAGCAGATGTGGGAACTTCATCCTGTGACATAGGATAATTTCATCATTATAATTATACTTGGGGAAGAGTACAAGTTGTGAAGCTTCTCACTGTGTAGTTTTCTCCGACCTCCTGTCACTTCATCTCTCTTTGGCCCAAGTATTGTCCTCAACACCCTCAGTCTATGTTCCTCCCTTAATGTCAGAGACCAAGTTTCACAGTCATACAGAACCACTTAAATGAGTATCAGTGCAATTTAAACTGCTTTGTATGTTACTGAAGCTCTGTACAAGTCAATGCATTTATTCTGATGTGCATGCACCAGCAGCAAATTATGTTTTGATTAACTGTACTCATCAATATAACATGAACAAAAACTCTTGTTTTCAACATGGCATAAAACGGTTTCTACTCATATCAAATGATCAAAATGAACCATCCCTAAAAATTTTACCAAAATCAACCCTTTGACCACCAAAGATACTTCATACTTGTGTTAAAATTGTCAGAGCCCTATCAACTGACACTGTTAATCAACTAGTACAGCATTCTGTCAACAAATGGCAATAAACATGACATAACCACACACCTTCACATGATCTGTGACTGTGGTCATTAGAAGAAGTGGTGTGGGCTTTTCTGTGCAACTGCATTTACCCCCTCCTCCCAAGCAGTTCAATTCAGTTATTCATTATAGAGGTGGTGGCTTTCCCCATGCACCGCGACTGATAGTCTATTGTATGTCCCCCTTTAATTTCTACTGTCTCCATACCCTACCAATACTGGTGCCCGCTATCTCCCCTTTCTGCCAGCGAGGTCGGCCCTCTACTGGCATTGGTACCCGATAACTTCCCCATCTACCGGAGGTATTGGAAACTACTTGAGCGGGAAACGTTTTGCCTAATTTTGCTCAGAGGTCTCCTAGAGACATGAGTATCTTTTACGTGCTGTAATTCTTTGACACGGGACCCATGGCTTAAAGTCCCTCCCGGAGGACTTGTTCCCAGAATTTTCCCGCCCTTAAAATTTCCACGACCTCTGCCGGGTTTGAACCCGCGTACCTTGAGTCATGAGGTGGGAACGTTACCCCTAGACTACGGAGGCCGCTCTCCCAAGCAGTTAGTTCTACAGCAGGGCTTGGCAGTTAAAAGAGTTAATCTTCTGACTAGCCTGAGGCAAGTAAGTCAATTCTACTTTACCTTGTTTCCAATAACAGAATTTACAGTTGCAATAGCAGGTGCAGTCATGCGACCTACAGTTGTGACAAGACTAGGAGCCACGCGAATTTGCTGGCCAGTTCTTGTGGGATTCAATACTTGCTGTAGCTGGCTGGTCTGCACTGGTGGGCCCGGCCGCAAAATAGCTGTGGTATTAACAGGTGCTGTTCCTAAATAAAAATGGATATCCTGCTATCAGTACACATAAAGTACCGTATTTACGCATGTATAGGCCGCACATTTTTTGCCAAAAATTCAAGAGGAAAACTGGGGTGCAGCTTATATTCGAAATCACACTTCATTTAAAAAAAAATTATATTCATAATTAGTAATACAGGGTGTAATACTACTGAAATAATATTCCAAGAAAATTATTTTTTCTATAATTTCTGTCTGAAAATTGTGCTGCGGCCTATACATGCGTAAATACGGTAAATACCTTGGCGGGGTCAATCTTGACTAGTTAATAGCTGTTCAGCTAATCAAGAAATTCTCCATCTTTTATGGAAGCAGAATGTTCATTACTGTGTTCACAACAGCCTCTCATTAGGCCCTATCCTGAGCCAGATGAGCTCAGTCCAAATTCCCACACTGCACTTCTTTAAGAACAATTTTAATATTACCCTCCCAGCTATGTCTTGATCTTCTAACCACCTCTCCCTATTACTGAGACTTTCAATGTTCCAAGCTCCAAATTCCACATTCATTTCTTGTTACTTTGCCCATGTTGTCCATGGGATTGCCATGGGTACCATCTTGTAAAATGCCAGTTTCTCTACGGTGTGGGCCGTTAGCACCAACCCAATCACCAAATTGGAGGACCATCATTTATCAACCACTTTCCATGTACACATATTACATTTTACTTAACAAGTAAAAGTGTCCAGTCTTTACAAGTTTTTTGGGAAAATGTCTTTCGAAATAATGAAAATTATTTATTTTTAAAATCTTGAGTAGGTATTCCCATTGACTGATATTACACGTATTTGTCACCATGGCACTATATAATAGTCAGCTGAAGAATTACATGTGTGGAATCACACTCAGCTATCAGACTGCACATTCAATACATCTGCCTGATCTGGCCTCAAGTAATTTTACCATATTTTTCGAAACTAAAATTCTAATTGAAAGCAAGGTAACCAAACTAACGGTAAAATGGAGTAAAATGATCAATGGGATCAGACATTGCACAAAGACTCCCACTATACTTCGAAACACAAATGATGGATTTGTAATAGCCAATTAACTGACCTGATGCCTGTTGGATTGGCACAACAGTTCCATTCTTAAACAGCAATGTAGGTAGTTGGTTCTGTCGGTTGCCAACACTCACAACACCTGGACGAACCTGAAACTCAGAAACAATGAAAACTGCAAATAACTGCATACACACATGAAGTCCACTAGCTAGATCGCTCGCACTTTCTCTCTCTCTTCTCAGTCAGGCAACAACAAGAACTGATTCCAGATGCATATGAAATGTACAGCCACTTTTCAATTTATAAAGTAGCTGCATTCTTAAAAAAGGGTGCACAAATAAAACACAATTTTCCCATAAAAATAAAGTATGGGGTAGGGGAAACAGTGCCTCAGTACTCACTCAAATATCTTTCCCCTTCACTGTTTTATTTTAAACTGTGCTCCAACACTACTTCACTCATTTGTTATCAATAATAATGAAGAAATTAAAAAGTCTATCTCAAATAATACAACTTTCCAATGAAGAAGTTCTGCTAACACTAAATGCTGCATGTGACGGCCTGCTGAGAGTGATGGTGATAGAGAGGTGGGGGTTACTGGGGACAGAGGTCACCTGGGTCAGGTGACACAAGGTAATGATGGCAGAATAGCAGGAGGTGAAGTTGCATGCTCACTTATGAGCAGGTGTTTGGCTTTCAAGAAGACTGAGGTTCAAGTAGTTTAATGCTTTCCTTGTCAAACCACATCATTTTAAAGAAAGAAAAAAAAAAGTGCCCATAAATTAAAACTGCAAGTAAGACGACAACCAAGCGGCATCTGTAGTCTAGAGGTAACGTTCCCACCTCATGACTCGTAGTACGCTGGTTCAAATACCCGGCGGAGGTTGTCGAATTTTTAAGGGCAGAAAAATTCAGGGAACAAGTCCTCCGGGAGGGACTTTAAGCCGTGGGTCCCATGTCGTAGCTTTGCGGCATGTAAAAGAACCTCATATCTCCAAAGGAGGTCACTGAGCCCAATTACGGACGTTTCCCGCATAACAGCAGTCTCTAATACCTCCGGTAGATGGGGGAAGCATTATAGATACCTCTCAGCTAGTAGAGCTGGTCTCGCTGGCCGGGCGGGACTGATGGTAAGCACCAGTACCGGTAGGATATAGAGACTGGTAGAAATCATAGAGGGAAGCACAATGGACCAATACAGGTCTAAGTGCATGGGGAAAGCCACCCTCTCCAATAACTAACTAACTAACTAACTAAGACGACAACCGCGCAATGAGTATGAACTAAAATTCACCTGTGACGGAGAACTTGCAATAAGCACCTGTCGCTGCTGTACCGTTCCTCCAGATGTGGGGACAAGGTATGCCAGCCGTGAAGTTGCAGAAGTTGGCGCAGACTAAAAATAAACAAATATGAATTATTGTTAATACTGCAATAAAAAAAGGTAAGGTAAAGTCTCTGCGATAAATAACTAAGCACTATGCCATGAAGGCGCATGGGGGACTGGATGTATAGATCCACATTTATCTTGACCTTGGCACTAGTTGGAGTTGAGTGGTCAGCATCAGTCTTGGTCGCTTTACCCCAAGGAAAGAGCTCCCGATACCCATTGGATAGGAGGTTCAGTGGACCCCAGACCTGGTCTGAATAACATGGAAGAGAGAAACCTACCAGGACTCGAACTCTGACCCCTCGGTTGTCCATTGTGTAGCCAGTTGTTATACTGAATACGTTATCCTTGCTCCTATTAATAATATTGTAGCAATTATAATAATTATAACACTATCAGTGGCTGAGTGTGGCCCTAACTCTCACTGTGAAAAGCCAATATGTTGCAAACCGTTACACAAACTTGGACTTGTCAGATTCAGTAATTATGAGGTTCTCAAGAACTGCTCCATGGAGTGGGCAGGTAGGTAGTGTGCGATTTTATTTTGCAAAAGAGGCTGTGCTTTGACCAGCATCCCCTTCTCAAAAGAGACACTAATAAGGCCACAAATGAAGTAAAAAATTTTTGCATGTGTAAAATACAGTGTACACAGTACACATTTTTGGCTTCACTAGCTTCTTTCTGTTCAGGAGTCTATTCTGGTATTCTGATAAACGTTAAGTCTAGCTTAATTCCTTTTTCCATCTACAACAAGAGAAAATCCTTCTTGGATACATTACAATATATAGAAAAGTATAAGAAAAACAAATATATATTCAAACACATTACTTGCCATTATAGATACAAATCTTCATTTACTACTCCACATTAACCCTTACACTGCTGTGGTTGACATTTGTCAATCTCTGAAAAACATGGCGTCCTTGCTGCGATCGACAAAACCAGTATTGTGAATTTTGAGTTTCAAAACTCAGGTTTCTTTGCACCAATCTCATTCAAACTTGGTGGGTGCATACAGTCATCTATTGGGAATGTAACGAAGCATCATTCATTTCAATGGCTGCATTCTTCTGCCCTCTAGCTTAAGAAATGTAAAAGGTTGCATCTGCACAGTGACTCACACAGTCTGTGGTCATTTGATGCGGGTATTTTACAGGGCTAGTAAAAATGGCTTCGCATAGTGCGTGGTGCTTTCTATAATAGTTTAAAATAAAATTGTGGACTTTGGTCAACATGTGACATAGTGATAAGACTGTGATATAAATACAGTGATTCTAGGATAGTGAATTATGTACTTTTTTGGTCATCTTGGACAACCCTGATTTAATTGGACTTCTCCCCTGTGAAAAATACTGAATAATTCAACATTTTTTTCACATTTTGCTGCCTGTTCCCTGTCTGAGGTAAAATTAGTTACATTATTTATTAAAAAATAATTCAGCACAGAGGGGACTGAGATTTACTTATCATACTAGCAGTGAAAGTGTTAAAGATACTTTGCTTTTTCTCAGTACATGTAATTTTACATTGCTTCTCTCTCCCAAATTCTGTGGTGAAATTTTCTGACAAAAACAGATTCCTACATCCTCCAAGCTCTACTTTATACATCTTATACTGTAAAGTGGCCAAGTACAATCTACTGTCAAGAGTCTACTTTGACCCACTGCTAACAGGTTTACTACAATATACTAAGGCAAGGAAATAAGGTAAAGTTGCTACTGTGCTTAATTAATTATGCACCACACCATTAAGACATATGGGGGGTGAAGGTATACCTCCACCATTCTTGAGCTCAGCACCAGATGGAGGCAAGTGGTCAGCATCATACCCTGGCCACTTTAACCCNTCGATTATTTAAAGAGTCGGTGCAGCGCACGGATGTCGTTGCAGAAGGGTTAACCTTGGGGAAAGAGCCCACAGTACCCACTGGATACAGAGCAGGGTGGGGCCCCAGAGCCAGTTTGGACACTGTGGAGTACAGAAAAGTATCTTGCTCCTGCTGGGAATTGAACCCCAGCCTGTCACTATACTAAATAATGTAGAACATACTCTGTACAATTTATTGCTACATGTATATATACTTACAGGTGCAATGATAGTAGTGGCAGTTGTGCCGGTGAGTTGGTGTGGTTGCACAACCCGAATACTGCCTGCCTGAATCCCTGGATTATTGCTAATGGAAACTGGTGTTGTAACACTACTAGATGCAATTAGATTGGTAGCAATTGTAGCTGGAGTAGCATTCACTGGACGCATAATTCCTGCTGCAAAAGATTATCCCCATGTCAGTGACAGAAAATACTGTACAGATTTTGAACGTAAACCTGAATAAAATCAAACCATGTATCAAAGAGCAAAAACACAGATTTCTACAACACAAAAAACATTAAATATAAACATCAAGTGATAACTGCTAGGATTAGATAGCGGGTCACAACATGCCAAAATTCCCTTCCAAAAAACGTAAAAATATTAAGCAGGAAACAGTTGATAATATAAAATGCTTTTCCTATTCAATCACAGCTCTGACAGCTTATAGTTACCACACTCTACTACTTTCCCTAACTTTGATTTCTTTGCAGTTTATGACATAAAATCCATTTTATTGTAAGGATATTACACAGTAAAACACACAGTGACTCAAATACTCTATGCCACATTTAGTTCCCAGACATTTAATCAGACTACAGAAACATTGGAGCTACAAGATTAATTTTTATGAAACTTTCAGAAATTATCCATAAAGGTATTTATTTATATATCTCTAATTTATTTAATGATTCTGTCAGTAACTATATCACATCAAATGACTGGATGTCAGTGCATAATTAATCTCAAAGTATCTGGAAAGCGTGTGTGGAATGGCAAGGTGTGAATTTGATTGTGCTTTTTCCGTGACCTATGTGTGTTGTCCTGACAACTTGAGCTATTGTGTCTGAGGCTTGATTTTATATTTTATTGGACCAAGGACGAATGATGTGTAGTCATCATGAGTTTGTAATATGTGACATGTTTTATATCCAGCCCTACGGGCAGTTGACTAGATCCATGAAACAAAAAATAAATGTAAATGCAAATGAGCTGATCATGGCCTATTTGAGGTTCTACCATGACATCTCCTGGCAGATGCAGATCATGTTGAAACTCTGTTCTTTCAGTATATTACATATGATGCCATCTATTGACAAACAACTGATTAATGATAAGATGATCTCTTTGACTATGGTGGTTTTACTTCAGGTACTCCAAACTGAGGTAATCAGTTTGTGGTATTCAAAGGGTTAATGTCTTACTTTGCTTTCACATCAGTACCACTTCAATTATGGCTAGAAATATTACAGAAGTCTTCCCTAATACCACAATGGTTGAACAGTTGAGAAACAACATTTATGGTCAATATTACAAATATACTTTTGTTTGTGCTCCACAACAGAAACTGAAGTGAATTTACTTACTAAGTTGTAAGAAGGGGAAATAACCTGAAACATGATAAATACAAAGTGAAGTAATATTCAGTGTCTAGGCCATTCATAAGAAAAAACCCAGCAGTTCAAGGAAACAATGATATCATGAAAAGAATGTATACACAACACACAATTTTTGTATCTGGACCATGACCAATGGCATTAGAATTGATGACTCTTGAGATTGGTCCAAAATGTGTTTGTACTCATAAACAGACCTAATTTGAAGCATTTATGCTTTTTTTTTAACACATGGCAAACATTTCTTCCCAAAGTAACTACAGTATGGCCAAGAAAAAATTAAGCTGGAACAAGAAAGAAGAATTTACAAGAGTGAGAACCTGAACACTAAAACTGCAGAAGACAATTCCAGATATGGTTATTTTGTGTCCACCACTGACTTTAACAAAAAACAATGTGTCCGATGAAGTGCATATAAGGATAAAATGTTTGTTAACTATATTTTATCATGAGCATGTCTGGGTGGTTACTTTGGTTAAATGATCCTTCCTTGGAGCACTAATCATTAAGTGTACTGTTACCTTATGTACCTAAACTGTAGTACTGTACTTACTCGTCTTAGCCCTGTCTTCCTCATCTGTTAGATCAATGATCTTAAGATCAGCATTAGGTTTGCTTGGTGTATACGGGGTAGATGTCTTGGGTTGCTGCCTGTTATTCAGCTGTGATGCTGTAGCAACCCTCAGGTTAGTAGCAGTATTCACGACAGTGTTATTAACAGTGTTGGCAGTGCTTGTCATTGAGCTGGTTGTGGTAACTACAGCAGTGGAAACGCTGAAAGAAGGTCTTCCAACAATGTTCTGTAACACAAAAAATTCCAAGTTGGAAATGTCATACAAATCTAAACACCGCAATGTCCATTATACTCAAATTCAGAAGAGCATATATATTTGCTATAAGCGGTTCGGAGGAGTTGGGATATCTCAGTCAGTATAGTGACGGGCCATGGGCAGGACAGCTGGGGTTCAATTCCTGGGAGGGGCAAGATTTTTCTTTATTCTACAATGTTCAGGCAGGCTCCGGGGCCCTCCCAGCCTCCTAACTAATGGGTACCGGGGCTTCCTTCCCCCAAGGCAAAAGTGGCCATGGCATAAAGCCGACTACTCACCTCCATCTAGCGCCAAAGTCAAAGGTGGTGGAGCTGTACCTCCGCTCCACCATATGTCCTCATAGCACAGTGCTTAATTAATTTGGAACAGATACAACTTTACCTATTTTCTCTTCCCCCCCCCCCACTTACAGGTAGTTTAGAACCTGGTGCTATGTGACTAGAAAGGTTATGTTTTGCATTCACTGTGCCTGCAAACAATTAAAAGCATTATGTATCCAAATTTTAGGGAAGCAACTTTTTTCCTTATAAGAGAACCAAAGCACAAATGTGCGTGCATGTCTACAACTTCCGGTTAACATATTTTATTACAGATCTCATAATTCCTGCAATTCTTCTTATGGCTACAGCATATTAACTAATGTGCTATATACCAAATCAACTGTATTCAAAAAGAGTCATATCGTGCCACATTGACGCTTCACAAGTAAGAACAGGTTCACCTTAATAGAGGCTACACTGCCTTTTATAACAAAGCTTTGGAAATAAGTGCAACCTTGATATATGTAGGGCAGTCAAAAAGTTCTCAGCATGTCTGCTCGCAGGCACAGCAGGTCTGGACAGGTTTCAGTGTGTAGTGTCATTACTGTTCCATTTGAATTAGGCGTGAATGTTAGTCATTCGGCATACTGTAGCAGTTCGAACAGCGTGCAAACATCAAGTTCATGCGCAAATTGGGAAAATCTGCTTCACAGATGCAATCAGCCCTGCAGCGAGTTTACGGTGATACTGCACTAAAGAAATCCGCAGTTTACGACTGGTTTTCCAAGTTTAAGAATGGGCTGGAGACGTTAGAGGATGACCAGTGCAGCAGGAGACCTCCGACATCCAGAACCGAAGAAATGATTGGAAAAGTGTAACAACTGATTCGATGTGATCGAAGAATGACCATTGCGGAGTTGGAGCAAGAAATTGGTATCTCTCACGGATCCATTAATGCCATTTTGTCCGATGATTTGAAGATGAGATGCATCAGTGTGAAGTTTGTTCCGAGGCAGCTGACCACAGACCAGATGGAATGTCGCATGATGGTCGCTGGCGATCTGTTTAACAGAAGTACGCAGGACCAAAGTTTCTCAAAAAGATCGTCACTGGTGTTCGCCTACGACCCGGAGATGAAGATGCAGTCATCAGAGTGTCACACAGTGGCGTCTCCCCAGCCAAAAAATCATGCATCAGATCCAAACACAAAGTGATGCTCATTGCATTCTTTGACATCGATGGTTTGGTGCACCATCAGTTTGTACCGCCTGGACAGACTGTTACTGGCCATTTCTACGTGCAAGTTTTGCAGAGGTTGCACGATGCGGTTTGGAGGAAGCGGCGCGACAAGGGGCAGGGACAGTGGTGTTTGCATTATGATAATGCACCGAACCACACATCACTTGTTGTACAGCAATTCTTCGCTGAGAAAAACATTCCTGTCATCACTCAACCACCGTACTCTCCGGATCTCGCTCTGAGTGACTTTTGGCTGTTTCCTACTCTGAAAATGGGCTTCAAGGGGACACTTTTCGCAACCATGGAGGACATCAAATCGATTGTGACGGCTGAGCTCCGGAAGATTCCAAAAGAAGCCTTCCACAACTTCTTCCAACAATGGCAGGATTGATGGAGCAAGTGTGTGCGCATGCAAAGGTCCTACTTTGAAGGTGATTAGGTAAGCGCTGCCATATATCCTACCATTAGAGTGCTACATCACCATTCCTGGAACTTCTTGACTGCCTCTTGTATACAGAGTGTCCCAGGAGGAATGTGCCAGACTTTGGGAGGGTGTTCCTTATGTTAAAGTATGCCGATATAACCCAAAACACCTATGTCCAAAGTTGAACGGTTACGGAGATAATGGCCAGAGAAGTA